TTGTCTTGGTGATTTGATATGGAGTCTAGAAAATATGTGAAGTTTCATAAAGTTTGGTTGATTATAAAATTTTAATAAGTGATATCAGAGCCAATATACGTTAAACTATTGATATTAAAGGAAAAATATTTAAGGTTGGAAATTCATATTTTGAATTTTTAAAATTTTGGGATGTGAATTTCAAATCATAAATTTTAAAATTTTGAATTTTTTGGATATTTTTCATAGTAATAGTAGTACTGCTGTCCCGCATTTGGGTGCTATGCACTTCATTTTGCCGATTCAAGCCACAGCAATGTCAAGCACTACTGGGGTGTTGCTATACGTAAACAAGAGTGGCGTAGCGCCAAGCTAATGCTAGTCCAGCTCTGTAACGTCCTCATTTCTCTCTAGTTTTTAAAAAAAAATTATTCTTTGTTAAAACAAAGAAAAATAAAAATAAAAGTTTAAGAATTAAATTTCACATTTTCTCACATTCTAAATTGACTAGTTAAAGCAACAAGTTATCAAAGTAACCTCTTTTGTCTAAACTAGTTTATTTGGGACATCAAGATGGTTGTGTGTATGTAATTCATGCGGATATTCACCGGTTCAAATGAAGGTAAATGTTTGCGAATTATGTGCAAACCTATGGTAACAAATAAATGACAATTAAAAAGTTCTTTGTGTGAATAATAAACCAGTTCAAAGATAGATTTATTGTTTGATACAGTTTATCGTCAATATTTGATTACCATGCCAAAAGTACCACTTAAAAGTTGGTATTTCTATCCAAAGACTAAATATCAAGGTTGTACTCGATCTCTTGCAATGGGACATACCATTATTTGAGTAAATTGATTGTTTAATAAAGATTCTTATGTGAACATATATCTTTGATTTTGTTCTCTATTTAGTTAATTCTTTTGCTTCCTCAATATCTACTAATATCAACTCAATTCCTGCGCTTAATGGAATCAACTTTAAAGACTAGAAGGAGAATGTTCAGTTCGTCCTTAGCTGCATGGACTTAGACCTTGCGTTAAGGATTGAGCGTGCTGTACTTACAAATAAATGTTCGGGTGATTAAAATGGAATGTTGATAGTTGGAATCTTTCAAACTGCAAGAGTCTTAAGATCATGAAATGCTAAATTCCAAAATCATTAAGGGATGCTACATCCTATAAGGTAACTACTATCAATGAATTTATTGAAATTGAAAAACACTTTATGAAAAATGATAAGACCAAAACTAGTACGCTTCCGATAAACTTAGTTTCACTAAAGTATAAGGGTAAAGAAAACATTCAAGAGTACATCATAGAGATATCTCATATTGCTTCAAAACTAAATGCACTAAAGCTTGAGCTGTCGATGATTTGCTAGTGCATTTGGCTCTGATTTCGCTTCCTACACAATTCAATCAATTTAAAGTCAATTATAAATGTCAAAAGGAGAAAAAGACCCTGAGAGCTCATCTCATAATGTGTGCAAGAAGAAGAACAAGTTCAAGAAAAGAAAGAATAAGTAATTATTCACTTAGCTACCTCTAAGGACAAATTCAAGAAATGAAAGAATAATGAACTCGCGTCCAATCCAACTCAAAAGAAACACCGAAAGCCTGAGAAGAATGAATCAATTAGCTATTACTTTTACGAAATTTCGGGGCACTTGAAAATCGATTGTACCAAATACCATGCTTGGCGTGTAAAAAAGATACATTTCTCATTTTGGTTTGTTCTGAGGTTAATTTAGTTCCAATACTTGGACATACTTTGTTGATTGATTCTAGTGTCACTACTCATATAAATGTGTATATGCAGGATTGCCTGAACAGCCAAAAGTTAAATGATGCTGAAAGATTCATCTATCTAAGTGATGGCAAATCAATTGAAGTTTGAGGCTATAGGTATATTTAGATTATTATTATTAAAATTGATTTTTATTTTAAATTTGAAAGAAGCTTTTGTAGTATCACCTTTTAGACAAAATTTGGTTTCTATTTTCGTACTGGACAAATTTGGTTATTGTTGTTCATTTGTAAATAATTAGTTTAGTTTTTTCTTGATTCATATCTTTTGGGTACCGGTTCTTTATCATTGTATGATAATCTATATTTTCTTTATTCAATTACCTCTTATAATGAAATCTTGCATTTGAATTCACATGGTATTAAACATAAATTGACCATTGAGAATTTTACTTCATTATGATATAAGCGATTAGGTCACATTTCTCAAAAGAGAATAAAAAAACTTGAGTCAAAAGGGACTCTTGATGTCCTTGGTTTTTCAGACTTAGATGTTTGTGTTAATTTCATTAAGGAGAAACAAACAAGCATAGGGAGATTAGATGCCAACAGGACTTTGGACGTATTAGAACTAATACATATGGATATCTATAGGCTATTCCCTTCAATTTCTTGGAATGGTCAACAATCATTTACTATGTTCATAGATGATTTTTCTTGCTATGGTTGTCTTATCTCATTTATGAGAAATCACAATCGAAGGACATGTCCAAGGCTTACAAGACTAACATTGAAAATGAACTCAGCAAAAGAATATAACACATCAGATCTAACCTTGATGGTGAATACTATGGTAGATATAACAGATCAAGAGAAAAACTTCCAGGGCCTTTTGCTAAATTCCTAGATAAATGTGGAATCATGTCACAGACACCATAACATGTTCTCCTGGCATGAATGGTGTTACTGAAAAACAAAACATAATACTTAAGAACATGATAAGGAGTATGATTAATCATCCTACCTTACCCAGATCTCTCTAGGGAGAAGTGTTAAAAACTAAAGCTTATATTCTTAATAGAGTTCTAAGTTAAGCAATTGTCGAAACCCTTTATGAGCTTTGGATAGGCAAAATCCCTAGTTTAAAGTATTTGCACATTCCGGATTGTTCAGTTGAGGCAAGGCCTTATAGGCCAAATGAAAAGAAAGTGGACTCCAGAATTTATCAATTGTTATTTCATTGTACACTCTGAGAATCCAACTGGTTATAAATTTTATGATCGCACTAAAAGGTCAATTCTTAAAATGGGAAATGACCAATTCTTTGAGATGTAGAGTTTGCAAGGAAAATAAGATTAGAGATTTTTTCTTTGATGAAGAATATATAAATATTCATTCTATTGCAATTGACAATTATCAAGATTAAGGATAATTTCTTGCTTCTGATCTTGTTCAAAAAGCAATTTCGTATCAAGACAATATTCCAAAACCCTCGATACACAATCAAGAGATTATTCCAGAAGAACAAACTTAACAATCACAAGAACAAATGCCATTAAAGAGATCCACTAGAGAAATGGGAAATGCAATTCCGGAAGACTTTACAGTATTTCTATAATAACAGGAAGATGGTTTTAGATTAAAAGATCCAATCAACTTTCATCAAACAATGCGAAGGGCTAACTCTCAAAAGTGGATTGATATCATGATTGTGGAAATAAAGTTCATGAAAGGTAATGACGTACAGAAACTTATCACATTACCTAAAGATACAAAATTCATTGGTTGCAAATGAATATTTAAAACCAAGAGAGATTAGAAGGGTAATGTGAAAAAATATAAGGCCGTCTTATTGCAAAGGGCTTTATTCAAAAGAACTGAAAAATTGTGTGAGAAGACCCAAAGAAGATGGTTCACAAATTAGAGAAATCTATATATGTGCTTAAACAAACTTTCCATCCATGGTATCACAAAGTTCATGAAATAATTATCTCGTTTGATTGTGAGATAATTGCAATTGATGAATGTGAATATATAAGTTAAGTGGGAGTAAGTTTATTTTCCTGGCATTTTATGTTTATTGCACGAAATTAAGAGATTTTTATCAAATAATTTTGAAATGAAAGATCGTATAGATAAGGTATTTAAGAGATTTGAAATACAGGAATGCAAACCAAGATATACCCCTGTTGTTAAATGAGAAAAGTTCAATCGCAATCAATACCATGAGAATGACTTGAAGAAAATACAAAAAATTTCCCATGCTTCAAAAAGTTCAATATATTCTCAAGTATGCACACGTCCGATATAGTATTTATTGTTCAAATTCTAGACAAAAATTTAAATAATCCTAGTATGGATCATTAGAAAACAGCCATACAGGTTATGTGGTATCTACAGAGAACAAAAGATTTCATGCTCATATACAGGAAATCAAACCAATTGAATATCATTGGTTATTTTGATTATGATTTTGCTAGATGCAAAAACAGTAGAAGATAAATACCAAGCTATGTCTTCCTACTTCCCCAATCGTGACAGCAGAGTTTGTAGCGTGTTATGAATCATTAATCAAGGAATATAGCTAGGAAATTTTATAACTAGGCTGCTAATTCTTGATGAAATTGAAAGGTAGCTTAAATTATTTTGTAACAATCAAGCCAGCAATTTTGTATTCAAACAACAATAGAAGTTCAACAAAGTCTAAGTTTATAAACATCAAATTCCTAGTTTAACTATAGAACACATCAAAGAAAAATTTTTGTTACAATCTTCATTATAGCGTATCAATGTACTAAAGAGCTATCAAAGGTCTTTTATGTGCAAACACCACACGAGTATCGCATACCTTCATGATATGCTAGTTTAATGAAATTTTATTATTTTGGATGTTCTTTTTTTAGACACATTGTTCTGTTTGTCCACATTCAAGTTATCTTCAGAAATAAAGTATTCAATTATATTCACTATAATTAAAGTTTATGTTTTGATCTCAATAAAGTAAGGTATGACCAACACCCTGGCCTTCTAATGAATTACGCAAAATTTACACTAACCGAATCGCCTAAATCATCTCATTTCTATTTGCTTGGCAGGTTTCCTTCCGTTTTCCTTCTCTATTTTCTTCTTTTCTTTTCCTTTCCTTTTTTTTTCTTTTTAACTTTTCAACATAGGTCAGAGATTCAATATTACTTTTGACCATAAAAACCGTCTAGCTATCATCTTTAAAATTTAAAAAAAAAAAATGTCAAATCAACAATTCTACAGAATTCTAAAAAGCCTGCACAATACAAAAGAAACACCAACAAAGTCTGAAA